GCCAGTGCAACTGCCTTTGTGGAGTGAAGCAGGACTTTGGGATTGTGGCAGGACTCGGTTGCTTGGCCGGTGCCGGGAGTGTGGCTGGGGCTTGGTGCTGTTGTGGAACTGTTCGGCAAGTAGAGTCGTCCCCTAGTCATAGAAGAAAAGGGCATGGCATCGTTTCCCGACCTCTTTCCTGGGTTGACCCTAGCAGTTTTCTACGATGATGATGTTCTATGGCATGAGCGATTAGTGCTTTGGCGCCTCACGGATCTGGAGTGGTACGTGCTGACGCCCGACCTTGACATGTATGCTGAGGACTTGTCATGCAGTGGAGGTGATGGACCGTCCAAATTCAAAGTGAAAGGGAAAGATTTTAGATACTGGTCTAGAGTAGGTGGTGGTTCTTACAGGTTTGCAAAGCCCATCAATGATGACCAGCTCCTTCGTACCTACATCAAGCAGGCTTTTCGCGAGGGTTCAAAGGAAGCCAGTTTTGATCCTGATTGGAGACCAGACCACGTCGTGGACACCAAGGGCGTCGTCCAGGACACGGATGTTTTCTTGGGTCCCTTGGTGCTGCACCGACTGACTGACAAAGGGCCCGCGAATCGCAGAGCCATGGGTGCTGGGGTGGTGGCCGGGGGAGATACCTCCGGGGATGATGATCGGGTGACCAGACCTATCGTTGAAGCTGACCCGTCTCAAGTTTGGCTGATCACCGAAAATATTGACCAGTACAAGATTGGGGACTATGCCCGAGTCGATCCCAGTCGTGACTTGATGCTTGGAGGCCACACAGGACTCATTCGGGTCGCCTCGGGCTGGGCAAAGGCAGAACTGATTTTGACCACGGATGCCGCAGAGTTCGTTCGTGCTCGTCGGGGTGATGCCGGCTCCCCGTCTCCTTCACCCCTTCAGGCAACCGAGATTCACGAGAACGAAGAGGGATCCAGTGACGCTCGAACTTTGATGGTTGACTACGACCACCAGGGCACCAGATTCAAAGAGTGGCGAGTGGTGGTTGCCGACAGCAAAGACTACCACTATGAGGACTGGCCCTGCGAGGGCCCATCGACGGTGCTTCATCTTCTGAAGCACGATGAAGTTTGGTGGTGACCCTAAGCAATGGTTGGAACTGTGGGCACGTCAGAAATCGATTTCAGATCAAGACCGGGTGAAGCATGAGCTCAGGTGCCTCATGGACGTGCTCTATCTTGGGGGCACCTTTGACCAGCTCAACATGCCGGTCCTGGCGAGCTTTGAGACTGTTGCCAGGAGAGTCCAATGCATAGTCGACGCCTATGCCGCCGGTGGATCTGGTGCTCCGGATTGGGGCAACGCAAAGCTGTTCACTGGATACACTGGGCCCGAGGACCTAGTGATGCCCCAGCTCAAGACATGGGCTGCAAGGCGGGGGAAGGAGGAAGTCGAGCTCTATCAAGCCCGCCATAAGATGAGAGAACTTCGTCGACCAGGTGGAGTTCAAGAAGAAGCAGCAGCAGCCGCAGCAGATGGCAACCTTCCTGCCGGAGGAGCCCCAAAACCCAAACGCCGTGGTGGGCGAGGGAAAGGGCTGGAACCTCCGGCGGCGAGCTCATGAACCGGATGGGGTCCAGCGGGGTGAGCCTGACCGCTGGATTGAACTATGATGATGATAGGCTCATGGGTCCGATGGGGCATACCTCTGCATGTGGGCTCTTTCCTTTGCCTCGGCCAGATGCTCTGCCGAAGCTGAAGGGCTATGGTCGCCGCTCCCAACACCGAGCTGCGCGAAGAGTCCGAATTCGTGATGATTTGAGGGAGGCAATTGCCTCCTTGAATTGGATGCATGTGGGTGACTTCGATGCTCCACCTTCGGCCGCTCATCCTCTCCAACGAGAAGTTTTGTGCCGCCTAGAAGCTTTGGTGGAACGGGCGGATGATCTGGGTGACCATGGTCATTTGCCGTCACTGGAGGCAGCCTATGGTGAGCTGCTCCGAGGCAGAGATGGTTATGCCGAGCCATCGACGCCGGCCTCGTTAGCGCCCTACAACCTCGAGCTCGTGTCCCTTCCAACTGACCTTTGTGACGCTCCTCGTGCTGAGGAACTGTTGGAGGAGGCCGACCGTCGATACCTGCAGGGGCAAGAGCGTATGTTACGGGAAATCCCCAAGGAAGACAGTGAAGTCATCAAGCCGTATTGGGATCCTGCCCTCAGACATAACCCAGGTAGATATCGCAAGTTTATTCAGCGTTTGAATGGCATCAAGTACCTTGATTTCACTTTGTCCCCTTCACAGCATGCTGGAGTGTTTTTTGTTTGGAAAAGTGATGGGAAACGTATTCGCATGATCGTAGATGCAAGACCAGCCAACGCAGAGTTTGAAGAGCCACCCGGCATCTCTTTGCCAACCGCTGAGACCTTTGCAAAGATTGAGATGGAGACACACATGCATGATGGTGATGACCCGGAACTAGGCATCTATGCAGGTCTCTCAGATGTCCGTGATTGTTTTCATCGCATCAAGCAGCCTAGATGGCTGTCGAAGTACTTTTGCTTCCTTCCAATCGAGGCCAAGCATGTTGGGCTCACCGGAACTGTGCTGGAGGGCCACACTCTCAGCTCGAATGACTTGGTGTTCCCGATGCCGGGATCACTGTGTATGGGGTTCAGTTGGTCATTGTTCTTTGCTCAACGCATCAACGAGGTGGTCATGAGAAGAGTGAGCAGTTTATCATCTTCTACTCTAATCCACGATCGAGGTGGGCCAGCGGTTTTTGGTGACCACCTCCCTGATGAATTAAAGCACTTTGTCTATGTGGACAACCTCGGGGTGATGTCAACCGACCGCCAGGCCGTCAGTGGAGCATTGGATGATCTGGTTGGCAAGTTCACCCAGGAGAAATTGCTTCTCCATCCAGGCGAGATACAGCATGAGTGCATCAAAGCGCTTGGTGTGCAACTGGATGGGCAGAACCTCTTCTCCTCACTTAGCCCCGACAGGTATCACCGCGTTCGTCAAGGGCTACGTTGTCTTCTAAGACGAGGTCGATGCAGTGGTCGGGTCCTTGAGATACTCATCGGTCATTGCACTTATTGTGGTTTGATGAATAGGGCTTTGCTTTCAGTTTTCCACAACGTTTACAAGTTCATCCATTCCCACCATGATCACCCAGCAACTCTTTGGAATAGCGTCAGGGCGGAGCTACGGGCATTCTGCGGCCTTATGCCGCTGATTGCTTCTGACTGGTGCCGGCCTTGGAATGAGTTGGTGCCAGTGTCCGACGCCAGTGAAGAGGGCTTTGGGGTTTGCGCAGCTGTCTGGACATCTTCTCAGGCAGCAGCAGTTGGCAGGGTTTCTGAACGAGACCGATTCAAGCGTGCCGGGAGCCACAGTGCCAGAGAGACGGCGCTGACTTCAGCGGGGTTTGTCAAAGACGAGGTGTCGGGCAAGTGGGCCGAAGGTATCCTCGATGATGAGGAGTACCTCAAGCTCAGTGGCTGGGACCTCAGAACTGACTTTCCAGAAGTCCCCGCTCACAAGCTCAGAGAGGGAAGTTGGCAAACCGTTCGGCAAGGCAGGTGGAAGAAGCACGAGCACATCGTGCACTTGGAAGCCCGGGCCTTGGTGAAATCTTTTGAGTACTTGGTTGAAGACACCCATTCAAAGGACTGCAGACAACTCTTTTTAGTGGATTCAATGAGTGCGGCATTGGCATTCGATAGATGCAGAAGTCGCAACTTCAAGATGCTGAGACAGATCCGAAAGTTTTGCTCCTATGGGTTGGCTCGAAACATTTCGTTTTCAGTGCGGTGGGTAGCTTCGGAGCTCAACCCGGCAGATGAACCTAGTCGGTCTCCTCTGCATGTCGTGAAGCGGTCTGACTTTTTTGGCCTCAGACCTCACGCGCTGCACCATGCCGACCTCAAGAAAACGGGTGCTGCAACCGCCAGAGGGGTTTCAAAGCCAAAAGAGAAGATGTGCAGTGCTGGAGAAAGGAAGTGCCATGCCAGTCATGAAGAAAGCCAGGACCTCCTCGCTCCAGCGGACAGACCCAACAGTTTCTCTGCTGAAGAAGCCGTCCTTCTTGCCACCCAGCCTAGAGTCTTTGGTCAAAGGCATGGACAAGCTCCCGCAACCGCGGAAGCAGATGGAGCCCGATCTCGAGAGTGCCGCCAGTTCCTCGAGTTCAGAACCTGCCAGGGATGTCAGAACCAAGGCACTGGCGAAGCGAAGTCGAGGCAGGCTTCAGAAGTATGTGCAAGAGGCCATGGAGGCAAAGTCCATGGGTCTCAGCTTGTTAGAAAAGAAAGCCATTGGGGACCGGAGCGCCAAGTACTACCAAGAGGAGTACAAGCAGTTGCTCATTTTTGCCAAGACGCGGAAGCTGATGATGACTCTCCCACGCGAACTGGATGCAACCCTTGTGGAGTACTTCAACGACCTTTTCATGAGGGGTCACCCAGCGCATCGGGGGGACAAAATCATCGCCACCGTGATGCACCACCAGTCCGAGTACAGCAAGCTGGGATCCAGTCGGCTGCCGCGAGCCTGGCGATGTCTCAAAGGCTGGAGGCGCTTAGCGCCAGGAACCTCGAGGAAAGCCTATCCCCTAGGCGTGTGGTGTGCCATCGCCTTGGAATTGAAGAGGCTGGGGCATCTTCAGATGGCAGTCTTTACGCTGGTGGGCCTCTCTTCGTACAGCCGTCCTTCAGAACTGCTGAGATGCAGGGCCTTCAGCCTGGTGAAGCCGTCGCCAGGGATTACAGAGTTTTGGAGTCTTTTGCTGAATCCAGAAGAAAGGATGGATCGGTCGAAAGTCGGCGAGTTCGACGACAGCATTGCCCTCGACTCTCCTTGGATGAGGCCTTGGGCAGCAACCCTGCTGAAGCCGCTCGCCAGCCAGGGCGCCGACCTCCCCTTGTGGAACTTCAACTACTCCCACTACTTCAAGGTTTTCTCCCAGGTGACAGAGACTTTGGGGCTAGACATGACACCATATCAGATGAGGCACAGCGGGCCTTCAATAGATCGCTCAAGAAACCTGCGGTCTCTTCTCGAGGTCCAGAAAAGAGGAAGGTGGCGGTCGCACAAAAGTGTGGCCAGATACGAGAAGAGTGCTCGCCTGGCCGCAACCTTCCAGATGCTTCCACCACCTCTCCAACATCATTGCCTCCTCGCAGAAAGACAGCTCGGGGATGTGATGTTGGGCCGGGCCCCCGCCTTGCGTCCACCTACAAAAGCAAAGGGCTGAAGGGTCAGTATGTCGCTGACCTTTTTGCTGGAAAAGGTGGAGTCGCTAAAGCTTGCAGACAACTGGGGTATAGAGCGAAAGAATGGGAACTCAGTCGTGGGCCACAGTTTGACCTTACAAAGCGTTCGGTGCTGCGACAACTTCGGCTTGATGTTCAACAGGGCTTGATTTTAGCAGCCATGTTAGCACCTCCGTGTAGCAGTTTTTCAATTGCCAGAGATAGAACGGCAGTAATTCGAACCAGAGACCATCCTTGGGGGCTACCTGATCACATGCTTAGCCCGACTGACCAAGTAAAAGTTCAGCTTGGCAACCAGTGCTTCAGGTCCGCGCTCAAAATCATCTCTTGGTTAGATCGACAAAAGATTCCATGGATCCTTGAGAACCCCTTCACATCCAAGTGTTGGTTTTTGCCTCCTATTCGCAAGCTGATGCAATCCAACCATGTCCTCACTGTGCGTGTTGACTTTTGTTTCTACGGCACTTTGTGGCGCAAGAGAACATGCC